CGTTTTCCCACTAAAGTGTGCGGCAGAAACGTATGTACAAAAAACTAGCGAAAATTGTTTGTGAAACGGATACGTTTTCGGCTGTTTTTTCTGAAATTTGTCTGATTGAATTTTTCGTTCAACACGCTTTCCTTCTTCACTTCACAGATACTTTTTCATGGTTCAAAAGAAATAGAAAAAAATTAGGAACCGCCTGACGGAATTCGAACCCAGCCCCTTCTGGAAGCTAACAAATAGCGGCACACTCTTCTGCACGCTCAGCTAATGCCGACTACGCATGCATGCTTTCAAATGTTTAAGCCCAGTTATGCATACTTGCACTGCTATAACATTTTTACGTAAAAATCAAAACCCAACAGAATTCTACATGTTAAGTGCTATGCGTTGGGTAACCGCTTACACGTAAAGCCCATTTAACAGATTCTTATGTTACAACTCTCATGCACAACTGGGCTATTTCCCTGCAGGGAAAGCTACTAGTGGTGAACTAGAATTCTACCAGTTTGCGTTTCAGCCCAACTAGTTCACGGTCTATCCTTTTTCAATGTTAGCGACTGGTATTTTTAACATTGCGATGTCCTACGAGATGTCAATTGTCAGGTTATGCATCAGCATCTACTAGTAGAAATACTGGTAGCATCATATCAGTTGATGAGACAGTCTGCCAACTCATCCCCTATGAAAAGCATTAGAATGCCTTTTTGCTCGCGGCGCCCCAACAGTCGCAATGGCCGACAGAGTAAAGCACTCGCATGGTATGCCTGAGGTACCACCCTGCAGGGAAAGCTACTAGTTGTGAACTAGAATTCTACCGGTTTGCGTTTCAGCCGAACTGGTTCACGTTCTATCCTTTTTCAATGTTCGCGACTGGTATTTTTAACATTGCGATGTCCTACGAGATGTCAATTGTCAGGCTATGCATCAGCATCTACTAGTATAAATACTAGTAGCATCATATCAGTTGATGAGATGGTCTGCCAATTCATGCCCCGTGAAAAGCATAAGTGTGCCTTTTTGCTCGCGACGCTCCAGCAGTCACAATGGCCGACAGAGCAAAGCACTCACGTGGTAAGCCTGAGGTCCCAGGTTCAAATCCTGGCGCAGGGAAAGTTTTTTTATTTTATATTTTTTATTTTATTTTTATTTTTTATAAATTTATTTTTTGTTTAGGCTGTTTATTGTAATTTTTAAATTTAATAAAAAAAAAATATTTTTGTTTAATTTCTTTGTTTTTATAGCACAAGCATTTCTTCCTAAATGTTTTTTTGCAATGCAATTAGATTATCAAATTCGTTATTTATTTATAAATTGAACAAATTATTTTTACTTACATTTATTTAACTTTAAAAATCTTAACCACCTCCAAGCGGCCTCGAACCTGCAATTTCAGAACTAGAACCAGTAGTCTTCACGTGACGCCACAGCCGACATTTGTAAGAAAAGCGATTATAATTGCGTTTTATTTTTGGCTTTGGCAATTCAAAGGCAGATGTCGCTGATCGCCTAAGTTCTTCGAAATTGTCGAACTGGTAGGCACATACTACTTAATGAACTAGTATTTTTTCTAACTGGTTTGGCTTTTCACTGCAGGGCAGGTTCAAGCCCGGGCGCAGGGAAAATTTTTGTGTTTTATTTTTTTTTATAATATTTTTTTTATTTAAGGTTTTTTTTGTTATTCTTAAATTTAATTTAAAAAAATATATTTTTTTTAATTTATTTTTTTATGGCCCAAGTATTTCTTCCAATATATTTGCTTCTTTTTTCTTTGTAATGCAACTAGATTTTTAAGTTTCTTATTTATATTTAAATTGAAATAATTATACCTACTTACATTGATCTAACTTTAAAAATCTTAACCACCTCCAAGCGGCCTCGAACCAGCGATCCCAGAACCAGAACCAGTAGTCTTCACGTGACGCCGCAGCCTACATTTGTAAGATAAGCAATTAATTGCGTTTTAGTTTAGGCTTTGGCAATTCAAAGCCAGATGTCGCTGAACTCTTAAGTTCTTCGAAAATTTCGAACTGGTAGGCACATACTAGTTTATGAACTAGTATTTTTCTAACTGGTTTGAGATTTCACTGCAGGGTTAGCTTGAGCAAATAAAATACAATTATTGCTTTCAAATGACATCATATTTTTCGAACGTTTTCCGGATAAGAAAATTGGTGATAACAGTAGGAGTTTTTTCTATGCGTTTTCGGATACGGAAAATTTAACTAAACTGCACTGTCGGAAAAATTAACGTTTCTTTGCTGGCTTGGTAATTACTACCAACTATTTTGACATGAATTACTACAACAAGCAGCGTAAAATAAACATAAAATTGAAGTGAAGTGAAGCGATTTCAAACCAATTGTAATCGATAGCTTATTCAAAAATACATTTACACTTAATAATAATAATAACATAATTTTAACCAAATTTTTACTCATGCCTTTATGTATGTCGAAAAAGCTACAAAACTGGATTTTTCACTGCGGAAAATTTTCGCGAAATTTTCATTTAAACTCGCTATATCTGAGACGTTTGTGTATCGATTTATTTGCAATTTGTACACAGTAAACTAGATTCTATTCTAAAGAAGATGAGTCTAACAACACTTCTTAATACTTATTAAAAACAAAATTGCGGATATTTAAAAATTTTTAGAAAAATTAAGGAGGTGGTTTTTACAAATGGAAAAGTTGTGTTATGAAGTTTAACATTTTTGTTTTGTTTTAATGCAGCATTAAAGACAAATACATACGGATATTTTTGGGAAAGTTTCAGGTTTAGGCAACAAGTAGTTCTAAAGTTATAATAATATTATGGTGACACCCACAAGCGGGCGCTCGCCTCTAGATGACAAATATTTTTACTGGGCTCTTTTGAAAGTAATATTAATTGAAATGTTGAAATGCAAGAATTTATCAGTGTTATATAACTATTATTAACAAATTTCGAGCTTTTTTAAAAATTCTAAAATCTCAATTGTAGTTTTTAGCCATTTGAAACTTGTACTTGTACTTCTACTAGAATTCAGTGGGCTACAAAACTCCATACTCAGAATCTAATTAAAAAACTCGAAATTTTTACGAAAATTTGTTGATTTTTTTTTTAAATTGCATAAATTTTTAAGGCAGTGACACTCGATTGGTAGATTTGTACAGATTAGTACAAAATAAAAAATAGGGAATTTTTTTCGTAGTCAAGAGATTGGTACAATACAGCGATGTTCTATTGAAAAATTTCAACAAATTAATTTTCGTGATTGGGATAAAGAAAAATATTTGGCTATTCAAACAATTCGGATACGATTTGCACAAAATTTTGGCAAATACCCAATCGTGTGACACTGCCTTTAAACTTGTATTTATACGGGTGTTGTCAAAGAATGAACTATAAAAAACTAACCAAAATTAAATAACAACAAAACTAATATGAGAATTGTCAAAATTTAGAGCGGCTATAATTTTTTCGACTACTGTACATTAGTCTGCATCACTAAAAAAAGTGGCGGTTTTTCCGGCGGGACTACCAAACCTAGTATATTTTAAGACTTCTACCAAAATATTTCGGCACAATATTAAGATTTACGTGAGTTGGACCGGTTTGAAAATAGCTCTAAAAATGGAGTTTTTTATGAATAAAAATAGTTTCTGAAAGGATTTTTTGGAAAAAAATCCCCTCAGATGACAAAACAGTTTAAGCTTAAAAAATCTACATAAAAATATTAAAGAATCGTATCAACGGAATCATAAAAATGAAATTTTTGATGCTGTATTTTTAACTTTTTTTAAAGGCTTGTGTAAGAAAAACTTGAATAACTGCTCCAAAACTTTACCGATATAGACTTATGAGGTATCAGTGGAAGGTATTTTCTCACCCTTTTTATTTCTTTGCAAAACTCATTCACGTCCCGTTTTTTATTCAATACCAACACATCTTAATTAAACATCGAATGACACTCGTTTATCTTACCTTCCTCTCTCATACTTTGAATGAGCATATTCGCAAAGATTTTAAAACGGTGATAAAATACCTTACCAATGATACTTCATAAGCAGGAAACGGATTTTATGGAAATTGCCTTTCTTTCTGCTAAAGAAATAGAGTATATTCGAATAAGAATGTCTACGATTTAGCTTACCCTGATTCAATATATACTCATTTGATGTTGCATTTTTTTGCCTTTTTTCTACCTTTAATTGTAAGAGGCAAGTGAAAAGGCCTTATTTCTACGAATATGAAAGTTTTCAACGTTCCATATTTAAATTGGGCGCCACTTGTATCAACCCCCGCCGAGCTCACGTTTATTATATTCAATGCTTTTCTTCGCAAAAATCTAATGAAAAAGCTACCAGAAAAATTCCAAATGCATCTTGTGGTTCAATGTTACTACAACTATAGAGAGTTTTGTGAATAAAAAACTCGATAAGAGAAAATAGTGAACGACTCCAAGTACAAGTTGTTCATATCGACCCCTTCGCGCAAAATTATCATATGGGATCAGAAATTATAATGTACAGACCTTTCTACAAAAAAATGTTGCGTTTAGTTATATTTCTCAATTATCTCAGCAAAACTAAACTTTGACATTGATGGTGCTAGCCAAATCAGAGAAAAATACAAAAAACACTTTCCAGTAATATTTGGATTTTGTAACATACGATAATTTCGCGCAAAGGGGTCGATATAATCAAAATAGTTCATAGTTTTGCTCTTTTTAGTCGTAAAATAAATATTTCTAAAATAAATGTATTTTTTGAATTTTTTTCGGTTTTGTCTGTTTTTAGTGCCTTCTTTTGTATTTTTTTTTCGTATTCTAGTGCCTTTTCCTGCCTTTTTTTTTGCCTTTTTGATAAGTTTTTATGTCCTAAAAATCCGTTCCATGTTCATAGTCATGTAAGTCTAAATTGGTAAGGTTTTGGCTGAGTTATTCAAGTTTTTCTTAAACCAGTCTTTGAAAAATATTCAAAAACAGCATCAAAAATCTCATTATTATGATTCCGTAGAAATTTTTTTAAATATTTTTATGCAAACTTTTTAAGCTTAAACTGTTTAGTCATCCGAGGTAATCTTTCAAAAAATATTAAAAAAAACTGTTTTTTTTTTTGATAAAAAACTAAATTTTTGGAGGTATTTTCAAAACGGTCTAGCTCACGTAAATCTTAAAATTTTTGCGAGATATTTTGTGGAAGTCTTAAAATATAATAGATTTTAGAATTCCAGTGTATATAAATAGTACATAAGTTGACTATGATTAAAATAAAAGTGAAAATAAAAAAAATATTTCGCTAGAACCAAATGGAATAGTTAAGAGCATCTGTACAAAAAAGGTTCTTATATTGTTTTGCTGCCCGCTATGATCCCACAAATATCTGAGCCTTAAAAATGAAGTTTAACATCCCTAGTGTCTACCACAGTGACCAATTTTCCAATCTAATTTGAGTAAACTAATATACAAGAGTAATATATAGTTATTACTCATTTTCAAATTTTTTAGCCTTTCCTGCTTTATATACGTTCTGGGAAGACAAGGGCATGACATTCCCCTACTATCACTCGGAAATGTTCTTGAGCGGCAGCGCTGTGTATATTGCTGGAATGTGTGAGTGTAGTTTGATTAAACATAAGATATACATACATATGTATATAAGATTATATTTAAGATATAAGATATATTATGCGAATATTATACAAATATCCCTTTTTTACTTTTACTTTTACCTGATAAACAATAGTTTTACTCAATCGTTTTAAATCGTTTACTAGGGATGTTCGTTTTTTGAGCTTTTTTACGATCCCGCGATTTTCGGCATGTCGTTATCACAATCCTGGGATTTTGATATGCATTACTTTTCAACAACTTAAATCTAAAAAAAATGTTTCTAATTTGTTTGAGAAGCTCTTTTACTTTGTTTTTGTAATTTATGGCCTATTTGTTGACTTCAAAGCCGCTATTGACAGCACTAAAAGGAGTTGCCTATACACCGCTATGTCTGAATTTGGCATCCCCTCAAAACTCTTACGACTGTGTAAAATGACGTTGAGCAATACCACCAGCTCCGTAAGAATTGAGAAAGACCTCTCCGAGCCGTTCGCCACCAAACGGGGTTTCAGACAGGGCGACTCCCTTTCATGTGACTTCTTTAATCTGATGTTGGAGAAGATAATAAGAGCTGCAGAACTGAACCGCTCAGGAATAATTTACTACGAGAGCGTGCAATTGCTGGCTTATGCCGATGACATCGACACCATCTGTAGCAAAAACCGCGATGTCTGTTCTGCCTTTTCCAAGTTGGATAAGGAAGCAAAGCGAATGGGTCTGGTGATAAACGAGGACAAGACGAAGTATCTCCTGTCATCAAACAAACAGTCAGCAGATTCGCGCCTTGGCAACCACGTCACTGTTGATAGTTATAATTTCGAGAAAGTAGAGAATTTCGTTTACTTGGGAACCAGCAATAACACCGATAATAATGTCAGCATTGAAATCCAACGCAGAATCACTCTTGCCAACAAGTGCTACTTTGGACTGAGTAGGCAATTCAGGAGTAAGGTACTCTCTCGATGTACGAAAACCACGCTCTATAAGTCACTCATCATGCCCGTGCTGGTATATGGCGCAGAAGCATGGACAACGACAACACCCGATTAGGCGGCTCTTGGAGTGTTCGAGAGAAAGATTTTGCGAAAGATTTACGGGCCTTTACGCGTTGGCGTCGGCGAGTACCGCAGACGATGGAGCGATGAGCTGTATGAGCTTTACAACGACATGAATATAGTGCAGCGAATTAAAATACAGCGGCTCCGCTGGCTTGGCCATGTCGTTCGAATGGACACCGACGCTCCAGCTCTTAAAGTATTTTCAACTCGGAATCCGCAGGTGGTAGCAGAGGAAGAGGGAGGCCCCCACTGAGATGGAAAGATCAGGTGGAGAAGGACTTGGCTTCGCTTGGCGTTTCCAATTGGCGTCAGTTGGCACAGAAGAGAAACGACTGGCGTGCTTTGTTGAAAAAAAGAAGAAGAAATGAAATTGTCGGCTGATAAGACATGGCGAAAATATGTTTTTTTTTTTTGATTTGCACGGTGCACTTTTGGATAACTGGTTAGAGGTCAACCAGCCACCGCGCATCAAAATGCTATTAACAGCAAGAGAAATTTTCATAAGATAGGTCGTGTCAGCTGACACGGTCTACGATTTTACGTCGGTGGCTGGTTGAGCTCTTAATCGAAACTATTAGAAAATCAAATTTTCCTTATTTTTTTAAATATCAAAATAAGCCGATTAGTAGTAGGATTCCACTTTAAATTTCTATCGCTAAAAGTTTCGAAATGAATAAGGATTGTTCCTAAAACATATAACGCGTCCATCGAAACATAACATATCCATAATGCTAACGATTATATATTGGACCCCCTCGGCTTTCGCGTTGCATATTTTAAAGCTCATATGTTCGAATGCGAAAAATAGTCTACCAAAATAGCAAAAAATACATGCAATTCGAATTCTCTCGTTTTTGTGTCAAAAAAGCATAGTACAAAATATTTGAGAAATCTGATTTGCCCCTCTTACTTCTTGAAACAAAGCTCTAAATAGCATCGGTTTTAAGCAATATTGCTTTTAATAAAATACAAAAATATCGTTTTAAAAAATCAATTTTTCAACGGAAAAGAGAGTAAAAGCCCAGTTAGTCTAGACTTAATTTCCGTAACTTAACTTAACTTAATATTTTTTGAGCAACCTGTTAAATGAGAAACTGTGTTGGCGTTTAGTTAAAACTTAACTTACCGCAAGAAACTGAAGAACCTATGGATTTTAGGTTCTTAAGTTACGGCCTTACGGAAATTGAGGGCGGTGAGAGAATCAGGCTTGCGAGACTATCGGTTTTGTACTTCCTGAAAATAAATAGAGGCAAACATTTTTGTTTGCATGAATTTTTTCGATGTGGCATTTTAATGGGGCTGAAAAAGAAAATATAAAAACAAAATGTTTTCGATTCTGGCTTAAGTTGACGTAATGAGTAAGCATTGGCAATTTATTGCGGTAAGTTAAATTAAGTTAAGTCTAGACTAACTGAGCTTTAACGTCTGAAACGTAACGTCCCGAACGTACACATACAATTGTTTCAAAGTTAGTATAACCTTTAGTTTGCTTTTATAGCACATTTTGTAAACTTCATTATTTTCTATTCGAAGTATTTTTGTAAATTGTGCTCTCCATGCATGACAATTTGCGCAAATCGGTTGACTTTGATGGTCATATCAAAATCGCTTCCTTTTTCAGTAACGTCCGAACATAACTTTCGAAGGCAAATATACCGACATTAACTCAAATTCAGATCTCCATTATTTCGTACTCATAAGTAATGCAAAGAAATTGAACAAGCGAACACGCTAATGCAAATTTTATGTGTGTTCGCCAAACCATTCGCTTCGTTAAATGTATTCGCTTCACCAGTCTCAATACCAGCCAAAATATTAACTATTTAAAATTTGTATTTAATAAACGCCAAGGTGCCGTAAGTTTTGATGGTGTCTTCATAGTATTATCCCAGCATGCTGTCGGATTGATAAAGGTTCTCAACTTGCTAGTGTTACGATCCACTTCACCGCTGATACCTGTCGAAAGGCGTATTGAATATCTACGATATACCATTATTACGTACCAGCGAACAGCAATGTAATAAAATATACGAGTACCACATATGTATGTATAAATAATAACATAATTTATTAACACAGCTACGTGCAGCAAATTCAAACAATTTTTAAGCAAATTAGTCTATCCCAATTCGTATTTAGCTTGATCATATATGGCTTCGTTCTATTCGAATTGAGTTTTGGTTTAGTGAGTAAAAATATATAGAATCTTGAAAACATATTAAACATAAACAACTGGACATTTTTTTTCTTTCATAAAATCATCCAGGAATCAAGCATAACAATCTTCATCCGAATGATAATGTACATTGCGGCCGGTGGAACCCAAATTGTTATATATTGTTACAATGGCCAGCAGCTAACTACAGTGGTGAGAAAATAATGAATTATTTAATTTATGAAAACGAATGAATAAAATTACGAATATGGTTTACTCGATTAAACAGAGCGAGCAAATTCCGTTTTCATTTTACACGTCTAAATGGTACGAAGAATCGGAAAAGTTTAAACAACTTATTCGTATGATGATTTTGCGAACTCATCGTAACTTCCACTTGGAGGTTTCATGGTTTACATTGATGAATTTGGCCACTTTAATTGCTGTAAGTTGAATATTTTTACTTTTAACGCACATGCATACACATATAAATAAGAGCAAATTTGATAAACACAATAATTTATTTATTGCAGCTATTCAGGATGAGCGGTTCGTACTTTTTGTTATTGCGCAACCTTCAAGAAAAATAAACGCGGCTGTTAAATCTTAATTTAAAATCAAAATGCAAGTTTTTAAGTATACATAAATAAATAAACTTGTGTAATGAAATGGTATTTTTCGACAGCATAGTAAAATGTTTGTTGTTGTTGAGTTCACAACTCTCGCAGAGAGAAAAACACAACAACAACCACATGTAAGAAAAGTTCTGAACTATAACGATGAAACTACCTTAAATACATAGAGTTGTGAATACTTAATAATTTAATGCCGGCCTATTGCATGGTAATCACTTAATCACGAATATTGTGGGGTTAGGTTAGGTAAGCTGGCTAGCCACTGTGTGGCTTCGCAGAGATAAGTAAGGCCCATAGCGTTACCAGATAAGCGACGACCCTATTGTACAGTTAATCGCCGAACGCCAGGAGCAATATTGAATAAGTCCTCTTGGCGAATTGGAAAACCTTATTTTACCTGCTCCCAGAGGACTGAACCGCAGGAGGGCAGGACACTTGCCAGGGGTTGCCAAAATTTTCTAAGAAATGTATAGTACTTTTTAAAAAAAAAACTTTAAAAATATAGTACACTTCAAATATATATAGTATTTTATTTAAAGCAAGAGGTAAAACCGCGTTTAAAGTATACATATTTTTTCTTTCTTATGTATTGTCTCTATAAAAAATATATTCCTTTGAAAGTATCATATGCTTTATCGTAATCAATATTTAAATTAAAATAAATCAAAAGCTCCTTTTGTAGCATTGAGGTATGCAGTCGCTTTTTTTTCTCTCATCTCGCCATTTCACATTCGTAATGGAAAAAAACTGTTTCTCTGAATGCCGAAATTGAAGGAATAGAGAGCAGAAATGAAATAATTTTAGGCAAATTTGTTAATTCTTTCTAAGTATTTTTAAAAATGTTGCCATTTTTATATGTGATTCTATTAAAAAACTCACTATGACCTTTTATTTAAATAATATTTCTTTAATATTGCTATTTCAGTATAAAGCTCATCCATTTCAATACACATTTATACATAGTATGTATATGCTCCACTTTCTCCTTTTTCGTTCTGCTTCTCCTACAGATTTTATCATTAGTCTGTTTAAGGACGTGGGATGCCAACAGGCAATGTTCCGCTAGGACACCCATCAGTAGCCTAGCAGCCTTACTCTTGAGGGATAAGAGAAACTTTGTGGGCTTTATGTCACACGATCCGCACATAATCCTAAACACCTTGAAACCTTGCGTTTTGGTCGACGCCTTCTGCTCTTTTCGGATCATGGACATGTTCAGCTCCTCTTTAATCACTTGGAGGAAAATAGGCACCTCCTCTAACAGCATAGTTTCCGACCGGGTGTCTTCTTTGGCTAGCCTGTCGGCCTCCTCGTTGCCCGGAACATCAGTGTGCCCGAAACCCAGTACAGATCAGGGATGAAAAATGGAAATTTCAGATTGTACCTAATATCATAAAATAAATGTACCTAAATGAGACAGATTGTACCTAAAAAAATTTACATCATTCATTTGTAGTTTTTTATAAATTTTATTTAAAACATGAATACAAAGATGGATGTACTTTAAACATGATTAGGTTTTTTTTTTTAACTGAGCCTATATCTATAGACTATAGTCTAATGGAAATCGAAGAAGCGTTATTTTTGTTTAATTTTCACTACTGAAAAATATTGGCGAAAAAGACAAAAAACACACTTTGCGAAGTATACTTCTTTATCCAGCTTTTTAAAAACAACAGGAAAAGTCTGCTAGAAAATAATCAAATTGCCGTAAGTAACTTCGAAAGCATTTTAAATATATTTCCAGAAATCAAAAAGCGAATATGGGTCAAATAGCTATAGTCCTCATCTAAAGAAAATATGAAATTTGAAGACATCCCAGACACTGGACTGTATGTAGGTATGCAAACGATGCATCGATGTTTTCAAAACATCGATGTTTGGTCCAAAAAAATCGATGTTAATATCGATGTTTTGCTGGACGATACATCGTCGATACATCGACTAGGAAAGTAAAAACATCGACATCGTTCACTCACTCCGTTCGTATTGTGCCGAACGACCAGTGGCAAGCGAGCACTTATTTTCGGAAGCTGGTGCAACCATCATTCAGGATAGAAGCAGGCTTTTGGGGGCTAGATTATCAAAGCTTGTTTTCTGAACTCATTTCAAAATGTTTATTCATATTTAAATAAATAAGATTTACATATTTAATGTACATCATAATAATAAAACAGGTGCAAGTTTTAAGCGGCTAAAAATCGCTTTGATTTTTAATGATTGGCGGCTTCTGCGTTTTTTTTCACATAAAAGGTTAAAAATCAAGGCGATTTTTTAACGGCTTTTTCTAAAAATTCAGATAAAAAAGTTCAAAATTCAGATAAGAATGTGTTGAATTTTTCAAAGTTTTGTATAAAGTTATGGTTTGTAGCGGATATGTGAATCTAGTTTCTTCGAGTCTCAGGCTACATTTTATTTCGTGTAGTAAAAGAGATATTAAAACATCGGTAAAACATCGATGTATCGTTTTTATAACCGATGTTTTTTGACGTCGATGTTTGTTGCGTGAGCGATGTTGCATCTCTAGCTGTATGGGCGAATAAAGGCTGGTTTTCATTATATCATATTTTGACAGCAAACTTTTTTGACATATTTTGCTACAACTTTCTTTCCTTTATCCCTACTTTTACCGATGATATTATGGGCCAAAAACTTACAAATAGCCACTTTAACAGCGCATGTACACGCCTGAAGGCCTATTATGATCTAAATCAATCAAAAGACCATTTTTTAGTCTCATTTGACAATTTGTTTTCACTTATTTGACCGCAAGTGCCATTGAATTTGACTTAGTGAGAATAAGCGTTAAAATCAAGGAATGAAACCCATTCAAAATAACGTTCCGGTTTGGGTTTCGGTTTTGCCAAGTGTTTCGGTTTCGGTTTTGGTTTCGTTCTTCAAAATTTATTTCGGTTTTGGTTTCGGTTTCGTTCCAGTTTCGGTTTTTTACAGAAATTTTGTTGATATTATTTAAATCACAATGTCTTAAACGTTGAGGAAAGAAAATCGAAAATTACAGTTCACTGATTATATCAACACTAGGTTCTTTCCCT